CCCGTTTATGTCGGATAAGCGAGACTCTACTGTATCTTTATAAATTCTAGACAATTTTTTCTGGAGTCATATACCAACAGTACAACATTTAATAAAAATCTTCTTTTAGGGGAACATACATTTTTTTATGCTGATCTAGACCGTATTAAAAATTTGATTTTAGTGTAAATTTCAATCCTTCTTACTACATATTTTCCCACTATTCCATCCGTATATTGTATCCAAAGTTCTTAGCCAATTTTATCTTTCACTTGTTCTTCTTTAGTCTTTCACTTGTTCTTCTTCCATGTCAAATTTCAGTCAAAGTTCATACATCTTTGCAATTACATGTTCATCATTTGTATGTAGTAAAACTTCAAATTTTGTCTTCTGCTGCTCAATTCCAAATGTCCCATTATCTACTTTAAATCTTTCTCTTAACTCTGCGTACAAAAACCATTGAAAACTAAATCCCTTTGCAACCAATTGTTCTTTTGATTTCGTCTTATATTCTCCACGTTCCTGTTCTAGCAACTCTTTATAAGTTAACCATTTTTCTTTACCTACTGTTTCTTTCCAGTAAAATGCTTCTTGTGCTGAGACCCATAAAATCATTTTCAGGCACAGTCTGGGTTTATATCTATTTCATATTCACAATATGGCACTTCTAATGTAATGATTCTTAAAATATAGGAGCCCAGAGAGATTGCATCGAGATAGCATCTGTTGTTGAGTTCCCTCTAAAGCCACTTTTTAATTTTTAACTAGCTCTTTTGCTTTTATTCCATTCCATTCCATTTTATTTTTATTTCATTTTCTTTTTCTTTTTATTCTTGTTTTGTTGGAGATCTGTATTTTTGCTACTTTTGCTGGAGACTGGCATTTTTATCATTTCTGCCATGGGGAAAAGGAATAAGAGGCAGCACTCACATTCTGCTTCTCAGACTTCACTCAAGCCTCCAAACACCTCAGAGTTGACAGACATCTAAAAAGCAAACAGCTACTTGACATAAATACCCCCCCCCACTTTTCCAGATAGCCTCTCTAATAGATATGACCCCCTGGAATGGGATCTACAAGTGGAGATAGAGAGCTCCCAACTTTTAGGTCTTTCTGCTTCTGTGCCTGAGCAAGCTTCCCCTTTGCAGATTGCAGCCATCTGTCAGGCTTCTGCAAGGCGTATATAACAAGAGGATGAGGAATTAAAAAATGAAAATGTTATTGACTTTATAACCAAACATTGCCTCCTGATGGCACAAACAGTATTATCAATTTTTGAGCTTCTAACCACAGTTGACAGTGAAGTGGACACTCTAAAAGAGACTTTTATTAAGCTTAAACACAGTCATCCAAATACTACTGCTGAGTCACTCAAAATAAGCTCATCCAGAGACAACTGAGTCTCAAAAGCAGATAATAGTGGTGGAAAGGCTGATCCTAATTTGGAACCTAAAAAGAGAGTGAGGAATAAGTTAAGAGATCAAAAACTCCATCCAGAGAAGCATGTGAGATAAGTACTGTTATCCCAGGAAGTATTGGATGAAAGGCAATTAAATCATAACTGTTGCTTAGAGCCAAATCAGATTACTCTACAAATCCAAAATAACAGAATAAATACAGGAAAATGTGGCAGCCATTCTCTCCCTCAGTCAGTTTCTGCCCTGTGAAAGGCAGTTGATTGATTTGCAGAAAGTTGAATGGCTTCCATCCAGGAGAGGCTCTAACGAATCCTTCTAACATTTAAACACCTTCTATCGCCAGCATGTTGTTCAAAATGAAGCCTTTTTTGAGCAAGTTTGAGATCATTTCACTATGTGTGCTTCATTAATAACTCATCTAGGCAATAAGAGTGTTTTTACTTTAAAGGTTGATTGTAGCAACATAAAAGTAGGTAACTCCAAGGACTTCTATCACCACTGTCCTTGAGAAGAGATAGCCTGAGTAAACAATCTGTACCTCCCACAGTAAGTCAGTTTTCTGAAGAACCCTTAGAGACAAACTTGATTAACTCTTTCAGTACCTTGCCAGATATTGAACAAATGGTATTTTAAAAAGATTAGACGATTTGAGGGAATTATTAGCAATAACACGTAAAGCTGCTAGACTGTTCACCCCAACTGCCCAAGAAAATAGTACCTGTTTGAGAAATCATCTACTGGTTCACCTCCTGTTTTAACATGGAATATAGACACAGAAAAGAACAACAGAGTCCTTGGGAGTAGTTTTTACCATACTCCCCCTGCTTCCTGATAAAATAGTATACCACACGGAAAATGGAAGTAATGGAAACAAAATTGAAGCAAATAGACAAGAGGAAGCAAGATGCAGCCCAAATCTTTTTAAGTTACTAACTGAGGTTGGCCATGGAATAGGACAGAGTTACAAGGAGGACATCCTTAGCTCAACGCTTCCAAAATTAGACACAAGCCTCAAATCATCTGTTAGGGCTATAGCTCATGAAGCAGTCCAAAATGGGTCAAGGAGAGAACTTGAGGCAAGAAAATCATTATCACCTAGAGGTAAAGCTATCCCTTCTGGACATTGATACTATCCTGACTTGCCAATCTGCAAAAGTACCCCACTCAAATTGCTGCTCATTTCAAAACCTGTTGGAGCTCATACAACACCAAGGCAGTGAAGGTAGACAAACTTCAAACCAGTGTGTTTTTTTCGACACCGAAGGAATTTTGGATAACATCACTCCCACTGAATGACTGAAAGACTCATGTTCTTTAACCCCAAATTCCAATACTTTTCCAGTCATCCCCATTGATATTAAGCACACAGGTTCTATCCAGTTGCTGGCTTGGAATATCACTGGCTGGAAGAACAGAGTAACAGATGGGGACCTGGTGAAGTTCCTCTCTTGTCTTTGACTTCATAGCACTCTGAGAGACATGGCTGACTATAGATGAGGAAAAGATTTATTTACCAGGCTTTAGATCCTGGACTATTCCTGCAAGGAAATATAAGACAAAAGGGCAGCATCAGAAGGACTGACAGGACTTGCCAAGGTGGAGCTGGGCTTGCAAGGACAGGAATTGGAGATAACTCTCCTCATTATTTAGCTGTTAAATTTTCATACAAATTCTCTGAAATGGTGCTACTGAACATGTATCTACCATCACATATGTCTCCCCACTTTTCCCTTAATGTTTGGGTGAATCTAGAAAAGAC